CGTAGCATCCCCTGGGAGTCTCTGTCTAGCAGGCCAGATCTCTTGCCCGGCCTTCTTCTCCTGCTTGTGGTGGTCCGTGACGAGGTCACGTACCAGCTTCTGGAAGAAGAGGGGACCCTGTTCCATTTTCGGGTGCAGCTCTCCGTTCACAAACACGCCAGCCTGAATATTCTTGTGCGCATTGGCGCAAAGGTATTTGTCCTCCGACATGACACGCTTGTAAATGTTGTTGATCACCTGGAAGTCCTCTTCGGACGAGTTCTTGTTCCGAAAGACCTCGTAGTACATGATGGACGTGTTGGGACTCTTGGGAATGAATCGTTGGATGAAGAAGAAGTGCGGTCTAAACATGAGTCAGCGACACGATCTGTCTCAATACGGCGACAATTATACTTACGAGACATTCATCGAGGCATTGGGGAAGTAGAATGTGGCGGCTACATTGAAACCCTGTGCGATTTGTTCGGGTGTTGGGTTGCCGAGATGCTGAACGTACGAATTCTCCGTGACGACCTTATAAGCGCTGAGATCGGCGACACTGGGAATATCAGGGTGCGTAGTTGGGCAGTGATAACACTCGTTGTAGTTGTCCCCCAGAAGTTTCCAGTTATACTCTCCCTCCATTTGCCAGGTATGGTCGAATTTGTAGTCGGCAAAATTATAGGCCGCAAATCTAGCCTGCTTATCGATGTTCTTATAGTCCTCGTCCCATGTCCTGGTTGGCTTCTCTGTGGCCTCCATATTTACCCAAATAAACCCATTGGTGTCGATATGGACATGGATAGGAAACAGGCTATTTTGGCTTTTGTCGAACCCTTCGACATCTTGATACGATGGCGCTTTGGTGAGCTTGCCATTGAGAGCGTAGGACCAATTGTGGTACTTGCAGGCAAGGATGCTATTGTTCCCCTCATCCTTTGTCACAACTGGAAAGGCCCGGTGCCTACAGACGTTGTGGAAGGCATTGATAGCTCCGGTGCGATCCTTTGCGATAACAAAATCGAAGCCGGCGACCTGGTATCGTAGCCAGTCTCCCGGATTCGGAAGTCTTACTTGATGTGTTGTAAGAAGCCATTTCTTTGAGAAAATTGCCCGTCTCTCGAGATCATACATCTCTTGAGAAAGATACCATGAATTTGGTAGCGCTCTGACAGTCTGGTTTCCTCCATCTTTGGTCTTAGAGAATCTCTTGGACAGACGCTTTAAGCTAGAGAATCTTGACAAGTATGAAAGGACTATCGCGACTAAGGATGCGGATAGGGTCAAGAGAAGAATCTTGGGCGAGTAGTAAATAGAGATCTCAGCCATGGTGAATTGCACCTTACAACTTGGGTGACAATGTTCCAGGATAGAAGTATAGAGGTGAGAGTTATGATAAACTACAGTACGGCGGTCGTTCCCTATGTATATGGCCTCCCCCTCTCACTGCTATCAGGACTAGGTTAATATGCGCTCTGATTTGTCCTATCTAATACTACCCTCTATCATTCTTTACTAATCACGACTGTGACGATGTATGAGATGTGATAGTATACTTAACGGCGGCTGAAATATCGATCACATGACCGGGTCTGAACCATATCAGATCTCAACAGACTGCGGAGGAGGCTTCCCGAGATACGCTCACGTGATCGGTATTGAGGGACCATACCAACTCAACAGCTTACTTGCTATCCATTTCACCACCTTGTGTGGGACGGCTCATACAAGATTATAAGCCCGGAACACACGGGAGTCTTGTGTTCACCAGGTAATATTGGGTCAGTATCAGGGAGAGACTGCATAATGCACCCTCCGATTCCCAGGTCCACGAGAGGCAATTTAAGCAGTGCAATGATATGATCACATGAGTATGGTGACTCGAGCAACTCCAGAAAAGCGGAAGCAACATGAAATGAGGGTACCCAAATGGGGTATTTTAGGACCTTTCGCGCAACAATAAAGATCATCACCCAAGCCCAGTATTGTTGGCTATCGAACAAGAGCTTGGCAGATATAGAACTTGAACACTTTCAAATGTATTATTCCACGCTTGATTAGACAACTTGTTCCCGCCAACTTGTGAATTCATCCGCGGCGATATTTTCATTTACCTTCGCCTAAATGATTGGGCATCAAAAATGTAGTAAGGTCCCATGAAGATAATTCACGATCTGTTGTTCAAACCATGAGATTTGCAATCATGAATTCAAGCTAACCCTAATTGAGAGCTTAGTTATCCCTAGCATTGAGGTGGTAAGGAATACATCGGCATGAATTCCCCAGGTTGTGTAGTTGCCCACTTCTTACTCAATTGCACTGACGGAATAAGCTCGCTAACGTCAATGCATTTCGGGTATACAGTATCAATGTAGAGTGACACATACATGTATGTCTTGGCGGCTTCTTTTGAACTGAGATGCCTAGACAAGTTAATAAAATAGCTAGTCCGTCGGTAACGGAATTATAGTCCGAGGCGGGAACATACTTCAGCCTCTGTAGTTAGAATGTTTCTACCTCGGCGTTTAGATCTAAATACGTGTCAAGGAAAATGTCTGACCGTCATGTGTCACGATGTTTCTGCCCAACGCGGCCCACGTGTTGCGCCCCGGAGAGCTTCCTGCGGTCTAGGCTACGGTTGTATTGAGATATCCAAACCAATCACAAACCATGTTAAAAATCGCCAGATCACTCCGCGTTCTCACTCCGAGACGGGCAGAGTATTTGTTAACTAATTTTTTTGGCAGTTGGCAATTTCCGCAAATAGGAACCCTCCCAAGGTTTAGATTACATAACTTCAACTCAAGGCTAGTCAGTCACGCGACAGGCATGCTCTGGGGTGCCGACATGACTATCCCGCCTCTCTCTGTCCATTGGATTTTATACTGGACTATGCTTTATCTGCGATGATGATGAGGCCCGCGTTCACCAACAACTTAACGAGGATAATAGGCTATTAGTGAGAATGAATGAGTCTTTACAAAGACCGCAACGCATATTGTGATTAAAGTAGTTCTTATTATTATTTATTTACAACTTGGAAGCTACCACTGGGTCTATCAGATCCTTCATTTCAAACCTCGGCCAGTCTGGGGAAAGGGCGGGATCCGGACGCTGTCTATCCCAGGCCCATTTCTCCGTTAACTGAGGAGATAGCTGGCCCTCAAGCATCTGAAGGACGTACTTCCCTATCACGGGGAAGAACTTGTAACCGTGGAACGAGCCACCGGTTGCAATGTATAAACCCTTCGCAGACGAGTGTGGGGAGATGATGAAATCCCCGCTGGTGGTGAAGGCGTCCCTGTCCAATTGTCAGCCAACCGTTTCCTTTCACGGAACTAGGAGACTCACCAGCAAATACGATGCTTTGTCAACTCCCAATGCGCAGTCTTCTTGCCATAGAATACATTATTTGCATGCTTGATGTCATCCTTAAGCCTTCTAGACACCTCCCACTGAGCGTAGTCTGGCTTTGGAGGTGGGGATGAGACGTAATGACCGGGCAACACTTCCCTGGTATTTTTGAATATCGTCTGTCCCCACCACTTCATCTCACGGTCTCCAGGTGTCGGCGGAAGAGAGCCGATGAACGGACCTGTTTGAATGGTTAGGTTTCTATGCGAGGTGGAGCATGTTCGGGAGAGCACCCTTACCTTGTTCGGGAGTATACCCTTGAAAAGCCACCGGCATGGAACCGAATATCGCATGTGACTCGTCATCTAACTTAGCCATTCCTGTCGTGATACCACCTGCAACAAGTCTGAATCCAGCTGCAATATTGGGTAGACCACTGTTGACGGCACTGTATTCCAGCAACGTCGGAGTGTAAGCCCCAGCACAGATAATAGTGTGTGTTGCGTTCAAAGCCTTCCCCTTCGTGGTTCGGATACCAGAACAATGCCCACTCTTATTCAGGAGCAACGTTCCAACTTCGGCTACCTCGTACTTGACGCCTAACTCCAGAGCTTTGCGAGTAATTGCGCGCAAAGAATCGCCGGCGGCACCCCACCCCCCGGTCGGATTTATAAGTACCTCCTTGACCCCGGTATAGTCAGCACTGTCGAATAGCCCGCCGTACAACTTCCGCGCTTCCTCAATCGACACGGCTTTGAGATCGACCTTTCGCCCAAGACGCTTGTAATTGTCGATGACGGTTTGAGCATAGTTATCGCGACATGTCCATATGAGGCCGGTCTGGTGGAAATATGGCTGCCACAGGGGATCGGATTTGAAGATGTCTTGGGCCTCGAGCGCGAGCTCACAATAGACAATGTCATCATAGTCTGCCCGCACCACCTTGTTCCAATCCCACGAGGCGGCTACGCGAGTCTCGGCATCATAGGCATCTCGGTCAACAAGGGTCACTGATGCGTTGGGGTATTTCTTGATGAGATAGTAGGCTGTCGATACGCCGAACACGCCGGCTCCAACAATGATGTAAGACTCCGTGCCAGATGACATGTTGGATATTGAAACGACAACGATGACAAACAAACAACACGAATGAATATCTCTGTTACTTCTTGGTGTAGCGATTACATATCTCAATTTATTTATGTTGCCTTCACCGCTCACTTTCCGGTTGCACCGTTGGCCTGTTGAGACCCTGCCACCTAGATACATCTTGCCGGTATCGCCCAGAGCAGACCCAGTATTTCGGTTGTATAAGTCGTCACGGCGTTTGTCTTCCTATCCCCGCTCACGTGACTTAGGCCTTGAGGATGGATGCTATTGGTACGGGACCTGTCTGCAGACATTCACATGTTAGATGCACTTGGAGTAAACCGCAGACAGTCGATAATTGCGCTTCTATCCAATAGTATCATTGATAATAACACAAAGTAAAGCTACCTATCTAGGTTAGATAGGTACTTATAACACTGTGCCTAGTTGGTTGGTTGTGATCTGCCAGCTATATGAGGTAGGGACGCTGCGATCTGCATTATTTCGAACTAGGGAAAACCTAATTGGCCGATTTGCCTAGATCATAATAGACAAATTGGAGCCATAATTCCACAATTGCCCCTATGGCGTAGTGGTAGCGCGTGTCACTTGTACTAATAACAGCAAGATTCATGACAAGGTCTCTCGTTCGATCCGGGATGGGGGCATATATTGTTTTAATACCCTTTTTTTGCTCTTTCTTTCTTTTCTTTTCAATCGTCTCATTGGGGTTCTTTTTATGGCTGTGTGTGCACATATATATATATATATATAATTAGGAGCTCTCTTTGGTTTCTTTATATTATGCTAGCTAATACATATAAAAAAGGGCTTGTGCAGGTAGGTAGCTACTAGGTACCTAGGTATAATAATCAATGCTTGACAAATTTAAAAGTAACAAACTGTGCTCGAGCGGTGATCTATGCAACACATATTATAATGAATTTATTACTTTGACTTCATGTCTAGACCCATTATTCATCTTTGTATGATTCTAGGCCGGACTTGCTCCGTTTATAAATAATATAGGTAATTAACCGAGAGACTTCAAAGAGTTGCTTGTGACTATAGTGGATGCAAATGTGCGCTATTTATCTCGCCCGTATTCAATCAATACGGGCTGGATGAACAAACGCATTGTAATCCTATATAATTGGCGGGTACCGAGATACATACATCCATACTATATCTGTCTATGTAGGTACCTACGTTCAAACCTTGCTGTTGGTTTTAGCGCTTCTTACAAATGCGGTTAACCATCCTGCTGATTAAGTAGGTCTAAGTAAACGACTTGTGTGAGGAACCACACACACCTCGATCGGGCTTTGGAACTATCGCTATTCGAGTTCTAAGCCGGCTCGGACCGTCCGCCGGCGATAGTTTATGCCGTGGCTAGATAACAGGCTGAGTAGTGTCTATGGGGTCAAATAGAGTTATCAACGTACACAGTAGACAACGCGCTGCGAGAATATGCAGTAGCGAAAGTTACCTAGGTAAGAGCACCATCGCCACTAAAGCAACTAGGGCATCGGAATTGCAGTAGTCAAGGGACCGGAGAATTGCATGATGATAGAAAGCAAATTATCGGGCTAGTAGCAAGAAGGAAACCGATAGGAAAGGATACATAAACATATGAAAGTTCCGTTAAGGCTTGGAAGCCCGCAATTGGACTGAATTTACGAGGATACAACATCTCCGCGAAGAAGAAGATTTATTGATTGAGCGCTATATAAAGCTGTGCCACGAATTGTTTAGCGAGTCAGGATGATATCCGCATTTTAAGCTCCGAGAAACAAGAGCACCTGGCTCATTGACACGATGTAACCGTTCTAAGCCATTTTCGGATATACCCGCTCCCGATATAATGATGATAATTATCGAACACTTCTTAGCCTTGAGGTACGTCGACGGTACAGATAGAATAAACATCCTTAGGATACTCATCCCAAACCCAGCGAACTGCCTTGCGAAGGGAAATTAGATAGTATTACTACAGGCTGTCGAGATGTCGAGTATTTCCTCCAGCTACATCATATCTGGAAAAGACGCTAGAAATCCAAGCAAGTCAACCCTCAGTCAGGAATCTGCACCTCAATTATATATGAAGGTGGATTCTGGTCACTGATCCATAGTTTTCCTCTCCAATCTTGGGATGAACATTGTATCGTCTCTTCCAACTGCTGTTCCCATCCATCTCTTCTCTCCCGGCCGATTTGCAAAAGACTTAGAACTAAAGAAGCAGCCTCACACATGTTTTCCCACCCGTTATTACACTCTTTTCCATCCTCGTCTCGTACGGGAAGGATTTCGCCTGTTTCATTCTCGGCATTCTCTTCGGCATCTTTCAAAGCAGCACTAGAGACTGCAGCACCATGGAGGAGTAGATAAAAGACGGCGAGTACGTTGCTCGATCCTACCGCCCAGTGCAAAGGTGACCATAAGTACTCCCCGTAATTCGACTGAGCACCAGCTTCCAGGACTGTTCTTAGAACTGACATTGGGACTGCGGGACTCCTAGGCTGGACTGCAATGTCGACCAACCTTGGCTGGTCGCCAACGACGCAGTTCGGATTGGCGCCGTACTGCAGCAGTGTTTCCAGGGTCTTCCACGACTCACAACTAGCTGCAGTGTAAGCGGTGGTCCATCCCTTCATAGGTCCCTCAGAAGGTCTGGATTCGATAACTTGACCAAGCTGCCCTCCTCCCTTGAGGTATTCGCACAGCGTCGCGACCAGCTCTAAATCGTTGTAACGGGTCGCTAGATGTAAGCCCGAAAGCTTATCGCCTTGTGCGGATTCAATAAAGCCGCCGTGCTCGAGAAAGTATTCAACCATCAAAACACGGCGAAAAGTGATGGCACAGAGCAGATGTGACATCTCATTCCATTCGTCGTTCGGGTGGACTGCATACCTGGTGACTAGATATCGAACGATATCCAAGCTGCCATGAAAGATGGCCTTTGCCATGAACTGGTGGGCTGCTTCATCCCTTGGTTGCATACCCTGTTCTTCGGACAAAACCATGAAGTCTTCTAAGACATTATTGCAAATGCTTCGATCAATCAGCGATGCTCCGGCGAAGTTCAGATCGAACGCATCAGAATCGACAACTTCAAGGTCGGCGTGGCGATGAATGGTAAAGCGACGAAGTTGGCGGAGATTGTCTTCTGCTGTTCTCACCTCTCTTCCATCATCCTCAACCACCCCGGCTGTTTCCCGGAGTCGTCTCTCAAAGGTATCCCAGTCCAGGCTACCGCCTAGCCATACCAAAATATTAGAACTCTCCTCATCAGGCATCTCTGCAAAACCCTTAAGGCGAAGAAGAAGGGCTTTCTCATCAATTTGTGGAGAGTCAAAAGACTGATGATGGAAATTCTGGACTGACGAGCCAAACTCTTCTAGTATCTTAATTGCGTTCTTGTCAGCTATGAGAGCACTAATAGCAGAGTGCGATCCCAGCTCAACGGCTTTAAGAAGCCATTGAATCTTCGCCACGAAGTTCCATGGCTGGATGATTGGGGGTCCAATAGCACCGGAATAGAGGCCAGCTAAGGTGATTGCACATCGAATGGTATCTGCTGCATCAGACACACGAGCGTACTCCTGGCGGAGCTTGCCGATCAGATGAGCCGGAAGGGACATTTGGTTGAGTGTTTTAACCTGGAATGGCTTTGTTAGTCTCCTTTGCGCCTAGAGACGTAAAACATTACCCTTGGATTATTTGGGTTCGCCAGCAATATTTCCTCGACTTCAGTAGTGAGTTTATGTAGATCCCTATGAGAGTCAACATAACACTTGAGTTCTAGGACTAATCGATATCTCTAGATACCTGGTACTCAAAGCAGGATTAAGTAATGATGACGCCACGGAAATACTCGGTCTCTTTGTCGGGTCGGCCTGTACGCACGCAATGATGCTGTCACGAAAGCCTGGAATTAGACGGTCGACAGGAATTCTGGTCAAGAGGGAACCAAGAGCCTTCCCATCATTGTGTTGTATTTCAAATTGTTTTTCCGCAGGAAAGGGTATTTCTTTGCAGGAGGTTAACATTGACCACAGAAGGAGGCCAAAGTTATAGACGTCGCGTGGAGATTTGTTGATGTATGAGGTAAAACCGCTTCGGGTGTGATATTCTGGAGCACAGAATCGTATCGATCCGGGTATAATGCCCTCAGAGACTTCACAGGAAGTGCCGCAAGTACCGAGATCTCCTACCGCTGCAGTCAAGACATCACCTCTATCGAAAAGGAGAATGTTCTCTGGCTTCACATCCCCGTGAACCAGACCGCAAGAATGCAACGCTCCGATTCCATTGGCAACATCGAATGCGAACCTAGTCAGCTCCTGCCACGAGATTTTAGCCGATTGCTGAGCTGTCAGATATTGTTTCAGATCAGAAAAAGCGAGCTCGAAGATTACGCATGGTCTGATCCCGGCGGGACGCTCTTCCTCGCGGAAGAAGACACCGAGCACTTGAGGAAGATTTGGATGGTCTCGCAGTTTAGAGTTCGCAAGGATACGGAGTTCTTGGATAATGCTCGTAAGACCCTCGTGCTGTACGTTGCTCTCGACATCTGAGCTTGCTCTAGTGAAAGATCCTGCGGGTTGTTTGACAGCCACAGCGATTCCTGTGCCTAAGGGAGTTTCGGCCTTCCATGTTGACGAGTATGAACCAGCTCCTATCAGCGTCCAAGTATCAACGTTGAATTTGGTATTAGGGAAGACTTTAATCCCGAGCGCGCTGACGTAGGATAGAAGATTTCGGTAGCCGACTAGCCCAGGGTTTCTATGGATGGTTGTGATGGCAAGCTCCAAGTCGGATGGTGATAGCTCACTACTACTAGTATCAGTGTTCGCCATCTAGCTAATATGAGTGATTTTATTTCAAGGATATCTGCACGCTTGAAAGGATCAAGAGGGGTATACGAGGGCTAGAAACGCCACAAATAAACAGAATGCCAAGATCTGAAGGCTTTGCAAGCTGAGGGCTACGCCAGTGGCGCTCTCAGCCGTTGCCGTCGGCAAATAGGTCCGATTCTCTTGTGGTCTTGAGGTCCTCGTACTCTCGCGTTATTAAACTTATTTGCGACTGTCTAAGGGGGGGTTTTCAATATCCAACAGACCCATGGAACCTACTCAAAATCTGGTCTTATATGCTAAGCTACATTCGCTTCTTTAGCGACTGGCATTTCCTGAGTCCCGAGTCAGCGCAATAATTATTGGTACCTCTCTGAGCTGTCAGACCAAAGCGCCACTTGACCATGGCACAGAGAAAGATGCGCACCTTCAGAGTGCGAAATATTCCTCTGGAATACAACGAAGGGGATTTGAAGAATGCCCTCTGGCAAGTATTTGACGCAGATGAACGAACCAGCATCGTCCCTATATTTTCTTTAGTTCCTTCCTTCCGACCCGAATCACAGACGCAAGATGCGTTGTTGACGTTCCACCCCAAGACCCCGACTTTTCTAGGTGCAGTTGAGAAAGATAGGACCGGAATGACTGAACGTCAAATTACTGTCGACGGTCACATTATCAATATCGATTTGAACTTCTTCGGGATCACGCAAGTGTCAAATCGGCTTCGAGATGGAAAAGTTGATATAGAGTAAGAAAGCAAACCTACATATCTATTCAAATCTGACTTAAGAGTAACAGTCTGGTCTTTG